CCTTCCTCCCTTTTCCCCTTCGGTGCCCGCGCCGGATTCATGGGCTTCCCATCCCCTTCTCTTGGCTTCTCGCCCCCGGAGAGCATACCTTTCAGGGCCGCTTCCTTGGACCGATTCCGTTGCCCCACCGCCTCCCCTAAACCCTCCGAGGGTGCTCCCTCCGACCTGCTGCCCCCTCCCTTCTGGTTTGCCTGCGACAGCATAGAGATCAATTGCTTGCCTCGCTCCGCGTGCTCCTGCCCCCCTTGTGTCCCCGCACTGTCGCCCGAGCCCGTCCCCCTTCCTATGCCTTTCCCTCCCTCCACCGCCTTGCCTGACCCCACCCGCGACTCCAGCTCACTGATGGAGATAGCTTGCACCGGAGCCCGCCCAGACGCTGCAGGAGTGGGCACAGGCGGGTGAGGGCGTGCTTCCAGAGGAAGGGGCGGTGGAGGGGGCATAGAGGGCTGCGTTGTGCTTGCCGACGCGAGGGTACCGGCAGTCCCCCTTCCTAGCATGCTCAATAAAGTCTCACGTGCCGACGTCCCTTCTTTCGCTTTCCCATCCGCCAGCTCCTCTTTCACGGGCCCCTCCTTCTCTTGTTCAGGTGTATGGCCATCATGATTCGCGCAGGCATCGAGAGGCACTCCTCCTCGCTGGACGGTCGGTATCAGCAGTGGCGCGACCCCAACCTCCGCCACCGCCACGGGGGGGTTATTCGCGGGCGAGCTTGCGCGTACCTCTGCCGGCACAACAGGTATATTGGGCTCGTCACCGCGCTCGCCACCCTCTGGGGCAGTGGGTGTTGAGTCCTTGTTGCCCATGAGCTGTGGGTATGCCGCATGAGGAAGGAGAAATTGGTGAGGGGAGCGGAGACTAGACCGTGGCGCGAACGGCATGAGGAACAATTATGCCACTTTGCTGACATGGAGGCAGGGTCAAGAAAATTGCCCCAGCATGCCATGCTTGTGCGCGTGGAGGAAAATGCTGGGAAAGGCTAGGCGAGGGCGGGGAACAAGGAAACGAGCGAGCAAGTGCTGTGGAGGGAAACGCAGGCTTTTCGTTTCGCTTGTGCATGCCATGCCCGTCACCTTTTCCCTCATCCAGTCCGCTCTCACGCATCAGTCGTATGAGTGGAGGCCACGGTGGAAAGTGGCGTCCGATTGGATATCGTGTGTTTACACTTTACTTGTGACTTCGTGCTGGTCACGAAGCTTCGCCAAAACAAGTTCCGCATCAGCCTCCATATCTCCCCCTGTCATAGGCATAAAGGAAACCTGCCTTAAAGATGTAAATCTATCTGTCACGCTTCCCATACAGGCGCCATAATGACGGGTACAGGTAGCGCTGTCAAAGAGGGTGAGGTCCTGAACGCTTTCCAAGAGATCAACGAGGACTTGCACGGCAAGGCCGAGGTTGTGGAGAAATGTGAGTGAGGAAAAGCGGGCACTCAGACAGGACCAAGGTCACTTCAGAGCCATGTCGCGCATCTCAGGATTGTCATTTAAAAGGCATGGTCGGGGAAAGCTGCCATTTTCTGCCTGCAATCAAGAGCTGGGCTTCTTTTTTATTCTCCCATTCCCTGGTTCCCGCCCTCTCTCCTGCTCCCCTCCCCTCCCAGGTCTTTCCATTATTCACCACCTCGGGCTCTCTGCCCGTGACTTGGCGAATGAATGGGAGGCTCATGCCATGAATCGCGGCTCGGACGACAGTAGTCAGGCTCTCCTCAACCTGTCCTCCCTCGGGTCTTTGGAGGCAACCTTGAGCAAGCGAGGAACAGGCGCGGGCGGGGCTACTGTCACCCCAGCCGCTTCCACGCGCCGCAGCGGACGCGCGTCTTTCGACCCGAGCACGTTGCCTTCCACAGAACAGGCCATGCGCAAGCGGCTGAGCATGTCCGAGGACCCCGCCTCGGCAGAGAAGTGGCCGGGGGCGGGAGCGTTCCTCTCTCCCTCTCCCTCCAAAGCGCCCGTGAAGAGACGCCCCCCCTTCTCGGACGGCGCCAGCTTCATGTCCCCGCCCGCGGCTGCTTCTTTCACGCCCTCGGCTGCTGCCTCCACGCCGGCCCCAATGCTCACCCCGGGTGGTCTGAGCTCGACCTCCTCCCCCCCC